CCTCTTGTAATATATATGCCCTGTGTTTTTAAATAGTTTTTAATACTGTCAGAAACATTTTTGCTTTTTTTTTAATAGCTCCCCCACAGCTGGAGAAAGAACTCAAAGACCAGAAGGTGAATGCAGGAGATCAGCTGAAAATCAAATTACCTTTCAGTGGTTCAGGACCATTTGAATTCAAAGTCAAGAAAGATGGCAAAGAATTGCCGGAGAGTGCTCGGGTTAAAATCTCACCTTTTGATGAATATATGACCTTTGTTATCAAAGGTAATCATTCTGTGTTTACAAAAGTGTATCTTTCATATGTAATTTCTATTATGCAAACGTTTGTCATGCTAACTGAATGGTTAAGAATACTGGGTTCTCATGCAGAAGACGCAGGTTCAAATCCTCTGTAAGTTTGTGGATATTTTTTGTCGGGGCAACAACAACAACAAAAATCATACCTGACTTGCAAAGTCTGTAGAGACAGTACTATCCATGCAACACTTAATCCTCAGGCTAAAAATTTCTAGTAGGCAAACATTTATCCTGCTAACTGAATGGTTAAGAACGCTGGCTCTTATGCAGGAGACCCAGGTTCGAATCCTCAGTAACTTTATGGATTTTTTTGGGGGGCAGCAAAAATAAAATTCTGACTTGCACAGTCTGTAGAGACAGTACTAGCCATGCAACCCTTAATCCTCTGGCTCAAAGACCCCCCCCCCCCCCCCCCCACACTACATAAATGGTAAATACAGGCATTAATAGCAGTTTTTGCAGTTTATGTTTATTATTGCCTGTGGTTTAAACATTCCTTCCATGCTTCGTAATTCCAAAATACCCAGTTTGGTTCCAGCTTCATGATTTGGCTGTAGATTGCTTTGCCCTGATGTTAACCCTACCAGACCTGAGGCCCTGAACCTGACTGTCCCTATAACCTGAGCTCCTGGGCATTACCGCGAAAAAACCAATATGATATACAAAAATATTAGTTACATGCAAACTAGTGGCTAAAATATGATGAAACTTAGAGACATTGTAGAAAATAGACTTACCTTTTATCTAACGCCAATATTCCACCTTTGTGTGTGAATCCAATCATCAGAATCAACTTTGTTTCACAAAGTGAACACCAGATTTTGCCGTTTGAGGGACACACCCCCTTCTCCCACTATCGATCTATTTCAAAATTTATAATTTTCAAGATTATCCTCATCGTTCGCGCTCTCACTGACATTTTATGAAATTATCACTCCAAGAACGCATTCTTTATGAAATTATCACTCCGCAGAGTCTGAATAAACCAGAGTATCGATCACCTGTTGGACTGTGAAACCCCCTAGAACTTGGTTCATCAGCCGCTTGTTTCATTGTGAATTTTCAGAATGTTTTCATGTAAAACAACACAAATATAATCCAAACACATGCGGGCAGACATTTGCAATGTCTAACAAAGAGGATTGATAACGATTGGGTGATTATTTTTAATATGTGATGCATCTTTTCGCTGTACTATGCAAAAATCCGAAATTTAGGGCCACCGGTCTGGCGTCAGGTTAAGAAATTTCCGGAAAACCGGGCCAGCGGTCTGGTAGGGTTAAAAATAGTATGGAGGTTAACTATTTAGAAAGTAATGGCAAACTACAGAACATAAAATTTTTTACTGAATTTACAAACAGCTTTAAAAATGTTGGAGTTGATGATGCAACATCCTAAGGATTTGCCACTAAATTTATATCTATATAATGAGATTTTAAAGATTTTATTTTTATTGCTCGAGGCTCAGAGGAAAGGCAAGACAAACGTTTAATCAGTATGCTACTGGCACCATTAGTATCGGATCGCTTCACTGGCTGCTGAGGATGGGGAGGGAGCGCTTGAAGGAATGCTCCGAGTGCTTGAAGGAATGCTTCGAGTGCTGTTATGTTGGTTCTTGAATCAACTCAGCTCAACTCATAAACCAGTCAGCACTGTGTGGGTGATGTCGTCAACATCACGATGGCTACCTTTTCTCTACAGGACTCTGCCTGGTACCCATTTAAGGCTGGGTCAACCCGGGAGTCAAGGTGTTTTTTTTTAAATCAGGGGCATAAAATAAAATCTTTACCAGAACAGTCTGTGGTGACTACACTAGCTATGCAGCCTTGAATACTTGGGCTCAAAGACCTCCTTACTTGCACTGCAAAGTGGTTGGCTCTGCACCACTTAGTGGTGAAATGATGTATGACAAGTTAGATATTGTGAGGGCCCGTTGGGAGTGAGTGAACAGTGTCAAAGGTGCAGATAGGGGATCTGGCTGATGCTCAGCACACAGGGGAAGAATGAGACAGATTTACAATCAGGCACTTACCTATGGGAGTGTCCCGAGTGCTGTGATGTTGATTCCTAATTAAAAATTCAAGATTCAAAATTCAGATAGAAAATTCAAGCAATAAGGATAATGCTGTGATCAGTCTTGTTTTTTCTTTGCCTTCATTTTTTTTTTTTTTGCCATCAAGTTTGACAGGTTTTTCTCCTCATAATATGCCCTAATAATTAATTCTTTAAGTAACCAGCAACTGGTTAATGTTTAAATGGTATGCTTTTCTGATCTCCTTATTCCTTTTCTAGCAGCTAAATAAACCCACTCTTTCTAATACACTGTAACTGTAACTCACTTATTCTTATAGTGTAAATACTCTCATTTAAAGTCCTTGAGAGAGACACAGTGGGACAGAAACAGTTAAATGAAAAATTCACACACAAGGGGTTAATATAACTCAGTCTGTGGAAGAAGACTGACAGGCTGCACAAGGAGCAATAAACACCAGGTGACACAAAGTGCCACCATTCAGATGAGAATCACCTGCATGCAAACCCTAGAAACTTTGTTCAACCAGAAAGCAATGGCAAACTACTGGATGTAAATTTGCCTAGAAAAACCACACAATGGTTCTTCAATGTCCTGTAAAGGATACGCAACTAACCTAACAGAGAGGTCGACTTTTAGAAAGATGTTGATAATGCTACGCTTCAGTGGAAAGCATCTTCAAAGGGATAAATTCTCAAGAAAACTGGTTACCTGCATCAGAATAAATACTACATTGCTCCATGAACAAGACAATATGTTTTCCAGAATTTTTAAGTTTTAACTCATTCAGTCCCAAGGAACACATCATATGTTCATAAGTTCCTTCCTAGAAGCCCAATAAACACAAGATACACTGATTTTACATCTCTCTTTACTAACCACGGGTCTTCTGATGCCAAATCCCTAGCACTAAAAGAGTTTAAAATGGGGGGTCCTTTTATATATGGGAAGTTTAAAATATATTTGTTCCTTAATTTTGGGCTTTAAAAAGATGGTGTGGTTTTATACATGAGTGTGTTTTTTACATGGAAACATGATAATTATTATATTTTGGATACACAACAAGAAAAACTGGAAAATGTCTTGACAGCAGGAAAGTGTGTGAGGAAGAGAGGTGGTAGGATACCAAGAGAAAGAAAGTTAGTCAATTTGGCATTTTGGCATTGAAGAATATGTGTTCAGAATTGATTATAAGTTCACAAGACCAAAGATTGTGGGCAGATATGGTGTTCAATGCAACATGGCGCAGATATAAAAAAAAAAAGAGATTTCTCATGTATATCATTGCTTTAAATTATTCTTGTCATCTGGTCAATTTCAAGAAGACATTCCCACTAACATCATTTTCTACATGCACTGTATAAAATCGGCAACATTGACAAGTTTCTGAGAACTTCATGTCAAAAGAGGTATTGCTAAACATGAACACTTTACAGATAGCTAAAGGAGAACAGTAAAACAACATATGACTGGTGTTATCAGTCACCACACAGTAAGGGAAATATTGAAAATGGGATCTGAGTATTCATGAATTTGTCCAGTCTGTAATGAGGATGATTGATGAACTAACTAGATAGCTAAATAACTATTACTAAATACCTATTAAATATTACTTTAAAAAAATAATTTATAAATAAATTAAGCATTTTTGTTTGTTTTTGTTTACAGAATGTGAACGTGATGACAGTGGAAGGTACACAATTGAGATCAGCAATGAAAGTGGTACTGCATCTGCACCATTCCAACTCAAAGTTGTCAGTAAGTGTGATGTATTCAAAATACACTTAATGCGTTAAAATATTTTTTAATGGCCATCTAGAGAGAATGCAGCCTGAACAAACTGAATATGGGACTTTTTACAGCAGAACTTCTGGGAGGAAAACAAGGGGAAGTCCAAGAAAGAGATAGTGTAGCTGTTAAATCCTAAACAGTTGCACAGTTGCACAATTTCATCAGCATTAACAGTCTTAGTTCCCTCATAGAGGAAGACAACGAGGGAAGATGATTGACAGTCTTGTTGCATGGCATGGAGGTGTGTCGGCACACGAACTGATACATGCTGCAGGAGATAGCGGATTATGGAGAGGCATGATCGCCCATGCCAGTCAGCAAGGCACCTGATGATGATGATGAGTTCCCTCAGTTTCATCAATAGGTCCATGCAAGAGTTTATTCCACCTATTCTTTAGGCTAGATACTTTAAGATCAGCCCACCCAGTGGCGACATTGAAAAAAAGCATCTTTTGTGTTTATCTCTTCACTTATTTGACAGTCATGGCATCCTCAGAAAGAAAAAAATTACTTTCAGTCTGTGGTAGACAAAGTCAGTATTGATTATTAGTAACATTGCTTTATTTTTTCAAATTCTGCAAATATGTAGGATGTAAAAGTAGTATGTGGACAATTTTTAAGGTGTCAATCTGTTTATTAACCCTGCATTTTTAAAATCATGATGGATGATAAGAGAAACTGACAGTTAAACAGTTGAATGAGTGACAGTTAGTCAAAGTTTTACTGTATAAGACTGTGTGTTTCCCCAGATGTTTCAAGTTTAAATTTGAGGGTTGTCTAATATATAAAATGTGTTTGAAGTGTTTATTTCCTAATTTCAGGCTGCAAAATAAATCAGTGTTCATATTAGAAATGCATCCATGGGTATCATCTTCAGGTCCACCAGGTGCTCCAGTTGGCCCTCTGGCAGTGTCTGATATCACCAAACGCTCCTGCAGGCTGGCATGGAAACCACCAACTGATGATGGTGGCAGCAAAATCACCAGCTATTTGGTGGAAAGACAAGAAGTTGGCAAACCATACTGGGTCACAGTCTCATCTCACTGCAAGGTAGGGAGCTTTTCTAAAAAAATTAGTTCACTTCTAAAAAAAAAAAAATTTTTTCAAATGTTTACAACTCTTCTTCTTCTGGTTCACCCTTAAAAGGGTGGTTGGCATTTTGGGTTGTGGCTTACTTCTTTGTTCACCCTTAAAAGGGTGGTTGGCATTTTGGTTTGTGGCTTACTTCTGTGTTCACCCTTAAAAGGGTGGTTGGCATTTTGGTTTGTTACAGCTAGGCTGGTTAAGATTCTTAGTCACACTTAAGTGGATTAATTTCTTGTTAGGGGACATTGGTTCTGTGCCCCCTACCCCCCTCTCAATTGTTGCCCCAGAACGCAAACAGAGAGCTTGCAGTAGAGCAGTAGGAATGTGTGTGTTTTATAGTGTGTCCTTCTATTTCTTTCTATGAGTTCAAATCAATACATTGTATGTTTGTTTGTTAAATATACAGTAGAGCTTGCAGTTATTTCGTAGCTTTTTCTTGAAGGTGACTATTGGCTACCTGAAATATATGTCAGTTTTCATTTAATATACGAGAGGGAAGATAGGTACAGACACATGCAGCAATGACATTTTTGTCCCTATATTTCTCTTAGTTTTACATTTTGTTGTTGTTGTTGTCACTAATTCAGTGCCGGAACATCACATACACATATAACTCTAGTGCAGATCAGCCTCAGAACAATGTATGCACTTACAACTTCAGTTTCATATAACTTGACTAATCATGATTTAGTATGTGTTTTACAGAAGAACTTTACTCCCATGACAGCCTGCCTAAAGACAAAAAAATCGACCATACCAGCTCCACTGCCTCATGCACTTTCCTGCCTATGCTCTCTCTTATGTCCTGTGCTGTGCTCTCATTCATGTTGGTCAGCACCTGACAGAATTGGGACAGAAAATGTTAACAAAACTGAACCTTTGCCACTGACAGTCTGTGAAATTAAAACTAAAAGAAAACAGCTGAGCTCAGTTAAGAACTGGCATCACCGTAGTTGGGTCATTTTTGTAAGCATTCCATCCTCATCTTGATCACCATGCTCCCATTCCCAGTATAAATTGTGCAAATTGCAGACTGATACTATCTAGTATCCAAGAAAGATGGCTGGATTCACACCCACCAAATTCTCTCCCCAAGTTTCGCTTCATCACCTCTCTGGAGAATCAAGGTGTATAATATTCAGATTAAGGACAGGTGCCTGCGCAAAATAGAGGGAATAAAATGGTATGATAGAATAACTAATGTAGAACTTTGGAAGAGAACTAAACAGACTCCAGTGGATCAGGAAGTGAGGAAAAGACGCTGGCGTTGGATAGGGTACACACTGAGAAAACAGGAGAACAGCATTACTAGAATGTCTTTGCATTGGAACCCACAGGGGCATAGGAATAAAGGAAGGCCAAAAAACACATGGAGAAGAGAGCTGGAGAACGAGGTTAGAAAGATTGGGAGGACATGGGGAGAGCTCCATGCAATGGCTAAGGATAGAACGACTTGGCGTGAGTTGGTTGAGGGCCTATGCTCCATTGGGGGATAGAAAGGCAGAAGAAGAAGAAGAAGAAGAAGAAGAAGGACAAGGCACAATAAACTTCATCAACTTATGTTCAAACTTTTCGGTGCAGGAAACACGGAGATGTGCCCTGCAAATTGGCACCCAAAAATGCTGAGCGTGTGCTCCAACACTGTCAGTTGTATGCTGACAACAGAAACGTAATCTGGCCTGTTCCAACCACAATGAAGTTAAAACTGTATGGTACACCAGAAGATATGGACTGCACGATAGCTTTCATAAAGGCTACCGGCCTCCTGATATAAGTTTTCTGTAAGACAGAGCGTAGACGAAGAAGAAAAGGAAGCAGACTGATTATGTCTTTGTCTTGCCTTTTCTATTAGCACTGGGTGAGTAGTATTGTCTGGATTTTTTCATAAGGGATGCCGGTGTGTTGGGAAATGAACAGGCAGACAGAATGGCTGGCTCTGACAGCTTGGTGGAATACTGATGCATGATAAGGCAGATGTGGTTAGTGCCTTGTGGGAGAGCGTGTACAGTTCAGAGGAGCAGAGGGATCACCACAGTCTGTGATGCAGGGGGGAATAACGAGAGGTTTTGGCAGATGCTCGAGGCTCAGAGAAAAGGCAAGACAGACGTTTAATCAAAATGCTACTGGCACCATCAGTATCCAAACTCTTTGTTGGCTGCTTCTTCTTCTTCTGCGTTCGACATCAGTCATGCTAAACGTTGAGTCCCGTCTGGGTCACAAATAGGATTGTGCATTTAAGGTCGCCACCGGCCCCCCATAACTTCTCTTTCAATGTGGCTCCCTTGGGCCAGATCCACAGTCTTTGCTAGGAGAGGTAAGGGCATTACTGTAGTATGTGCCCAGAGGTCTGTCTTTCTGCTCCACAATCACAGGCAGCAGATTCTTTTATGCCTATCCTGTACAGGTGTGCTCAAAGACCACAGTGTCCAGTCCGAAGTCTAAAAATTGTTGTTTGTTCTTTCCTGTTGAGTTTGTTTATGCTGTCACTCTCTGGTCTGTAATCTCCATTCTGCCTTCTCCACTCCCGCTTGAAAGACTGCTTTAGCGCTGTTTTGGTTTCCTTGTAGCTGTGTGGTGGATGAGATTATGGAAGATTACTCTCAGCTTTTGCCAACTCATCTGCTCTCTCATTTCCTTGAATACCACAATAGGCTGGTATCCACTGCAAGACTCTGCTTGAAAATAGTTCAGTCCTTTAACAATAATTCTATCACTAATGGAAAAGCACTAAAATGATGTAACAACAGCTAATCATTGACCAGTGCTGTCTTATCCATTGATTGTAGGATACAAGCATTGATGTCCAGGGCCTGTATGAAAACAGCCAGTACTTGTTTAGGGTAGCAGCTGTTACAGAGAATGGTCCTGGAGATTTCTTAACAGCACAGAGTCCAATTGTTGCCAAGATGCCGTTCAGTAAGTTTGTTTTTGTCTGTTATTTTACATATTAAATAGTTATGTAGTTGCTATGTTAGCTTCTAATAACTAAAATTGTGCAAGCATCATAATTACTTTTTTGATGAGAGGCTGGATAGCTGGATTCAGTAGCATCAAAAGAGGTCCTAATGCAAAACTAAGGAAAACATAAATCTGCAGAGTTGTGTGAGACAGAGAAAGAGAGAGGCAGCAAAAGTGATCATATAAGGAAAAGAGAGAGGCGGCAAAAGTGATCATATAAGAGAAAGAGAGAGGCAGCAAAAGTGATCATATAAGAGAAAGAGAGGGAGAGTGAATGAATATTAATAATATTGTTAGTGTTCAGCTGCTATAAACTCCAGCAGACAAATTTTGGTGTCTTGTCCACTTCTGGACTTTATCTTGTTCCAGAAATTAATTTTATGTGCATGTCTGTTTTACAGATCTGGCTTACTTGTCTGTAGATTGTTGGTTCCTCTTGTCATTCCTACTTTGGAAGAAACAAATCCCTAATTAGTCACCTTTGTTGACATGACAGGAAAATAGTGGGCCTATTATTTTCTTCCCCAATATGTGGCCTCTGATCCCACACTGGGAGGATGTATATTCAAATCCAGAACAAAGTATAAACAAAAAATTCTGCACTACAGGTCTTCTAATTTTAATATTTTTGTTGTCTAAATTTTTTTTTTTCCATAGTTTATCACTCATGTTTAAATAAAAAATTTGTTTCTACAACACAGATGCCCCTGAATCACCTGGCATGCCTGAAGTTACTGAAATTGGTGGTGACTTTGTCAGCTTGACCTGGGAAAAACCCAAATCAGACGGTGGCGGGAGAATCATTGGCTACTGGGTAGAGAAGAGAGAGCATGGAACTGACAACTGGTCTCGCATCAACACCAGCCCTTGCATTACAAACATCCTCAATATTCCCAATCTTATTGAAGATCGGCGATATGAGTTCCGTGTCTTTGCTGAGAATGAAGCAGGCATAAGCAAGCCATCCCAGGCTAGTACAGCTGTAAAGATCAAGGACCCAAATGGTAAATTCTGTATAATTTAGTTTACTCCTTCAGTCCCAAAGAATGCACTTTACATTTCTTTGTCGTTCCAAAGAAAATAGTGTTGGTGCTGTCTTCTGTCACAGTCATTATATTAACCCTTGTTATGTGTATTATTATTTTAACCACTTCTGACCTCTTTTAAACCCTTTCATATATAAGAATGTGTTGTTTTTAAGCTCAACTTCTTGCAGTAGAAATGGTTAAAGTAGCAATTGCTTGGTAATGAAAGAGTTAACAATTGTCATCAACTTTTTATGGTTGATATGTCACATATGGCTCAGTGTATTTTTTAACCATTCTTTTCTGTCCTGTGCATACTTTGGGAAATCATGTTGACAGTACACTGATAATAATTTGAAATGTTATTGACAGTTTTGTATTACCACTGAATTGAAAGAATCTTTTATTTAAAATGTCTCTAAAAATAATTTCAGACCAATAACCTAAGTAACATTTACCATGCAGACCTCTTAAGGCGATCTCATCTGTATGAAGCTTTGGCTGAAGATCAGGGTCAGAGGCTGAAAAGGGGAAAATTGTGGATGGCTCAAGCAAAAGACACAGTTAGACAAGTATGCATGCTGGAGAACATTGGGCAAGGAGAGGAGTGGCTCAGAGTACCAGAGAAAAAGTCAGACCTGTGTAGGGTTATGAACACATTGGGCCAGGAGCGCAGAGAGTGGCCAGCGGGTGCTGCAGAGGTGGAAGTCCAACAGTTGATTCATGACAATTCATGCCCCGGTGATCTGATTATCTGTACAGATGGCTTGGTGGTGAGAGAAAAAAGAAGTGCATGGGGGTTCGTAGCGAAAGCCAATAGAAAATATTTAGTGCAAGACAGCTAGCATATGACATGACGTCTAGAATGAGAATGGAGATGGAAGCAGTAACTGCAGCTCTACGGTGACTAGAGAACAAGATGCATACACATGTCATAATTGTAACACACTCTGAAAGCATGCTGAGAAAGGTAAAGACAGGGATACTTCAAGCAGAGTGGCAGGTTACACTGGGAAGGTTACGGGTAGTGAGCCTACTTTGAATCTTTTCTCTGGGCTATGCCGACGTGGTGGGTAATGAACAGGCACCACTGGGTGGTGAATTGATACATGACAAGGCAGATGTGGTCAAGGCCCTTTGGGAACAAGCAACTGAATCAGTAGAGAAAGAAGATTATTATGGCCTGGAGAGAGTGAGGCACCTGGGTGTAACCAGAGGGTCTGGCCAGCTCACTACACTTAGAGGAAAGGTGAGACAGACAAATAACCAGATTGTGACTGGTATCATCAATGTTGGAACTTTGCTCTGGCCTTTGAAGATGACTACGGAGCATGCATGAGAATGCCCAGAGTGCTGTCATGTCAATTCTTGACTCAACTCAGCTCAACAAAACAGACTGCCTGTTGACTTGTCAATAAATGAAGTTAATACCTTGTGTCCAGTATCTCTAAAAGTATAGAAATACGACCCTTTTTACATTACATTTAAAAAAGATTTAGAGAACATTTGGAATGGCCTTTTGGAAAGCCAGATTTCTTTAGAATACTCTTACCAGATTTTAAAAGAACACATTATAGACTGTTGAGAATTCAAAGAGAAGTACACATTTCTTTTAATGATTGAGAGAGTTCATGTTAGTATTGGGAAAAGATGTGTTGGGGAATACAAGCATGCTACTTTCATTTCTATGTTTGATTACAAATTGGGGTGGGGGAATTTTTTTTGGGGGGTTATCTCACTGAAGCCATGTTGTAGCCCAGTGCCATGGTTTTATTGTTTGTCTGGGTTATGGATTTCTGTCTTTTTACGGATTAGAGCCACACCATTTATCCATCTCTCTCTTGGTCTTCTGCTCACCTTCCCCAGATGTTCTGCTGTAATGTTCTTGATTATTCATAGTTTTATTTAACTTGAATTGATATCATTCTCTTTCAGCTGCTGAGTTACCAGAGTTCACAATGGGTTTGAGGAAGATTCAGGCTGTGCAGGGCAGATCTGCAGTATTTGAATGTGAAGTTTCAGGAAACCCCAAGCCAGATATCCAGTGGTATGTTATATGCACATTTTTTTTCCCAACCATAAAGTGTCTACTACAGTTTTCTGACTAAAATAGTGCTTCACATAACGCCTGAAAAAAGCCCTTGTTATATTAAAAGTAATAATAATTGATACAATGTTTAAAAATGTTTTCTTTCACCTCAAAATGTGTCTTTTGATTAAAGGACAGAATTGCCAACATAAGGTCAAGCACTTATCATTTTGGTAATGTACTAAGACATTATTTGTGGCCTAACAAAACTTGAACTGAAAAGATCAAGATTAGCAGAGGCAGAGGTCAGCAGCAAAATCTTGGATGTTTGGGCAGTAGTCATGAAAAAAAAAAAATCAGCAACACTCTGTGGTCAAACATCTTTAAAAGAAAGGTCATTTGTTTAGGAAGACTGAGCATGAATTTATAAGTGCTCACATTCATAAGAAATCTGTTTAAAGTGAAAAAAAGTGCATCTGCTTGGTGAGGAACCTAAAATCTGCATAAAAATAAGCCAGATCTGTGAAATGGATGGCATACAAAACACAAGTTCAAGTACAAGGCTAATTTCCATTAAGCAGATGAACAACCAGGACTAAAGCATACAGCTGGTGAACATTAAGAAGAAGAAGAAGAAAAGTATGTGGTCAAAAGCTTGATTGAAACACTTCCCATGATTTGTGTTGGAGACATTCTGATCCCTTGGCCACCTACCCCTCTGTGTTTTATTAATAAGTACACTGTTTGCCTTTTTGTTAATATTTTATTCATATTCTGAGTATTGTTCATACTTTGTAAATATTTTCTGTCATTTAAAGGTTTAAGGGTGTGCGTGAGATTTTTAACAGTGACAAGTACGAAATAACTAGTATCGGAAACAAGCAGACCTTGATCATAAATGATGTTTATGGCGAAGATGCTGATGAATATTCAATTCGTGCCACCAATAGGGGAGGAAGTCGAGTATCCAGAGCAGAACTAGAGATCAAATGTGAGTAATATTTTGTGAAGATCTTCAATCTAAAGCACTGCTACACAGTGAACATTAGGTATATTTTTCTGACCAAGCAAATCATCAAAACAAATGCTTGTATTAGAGACATTTGTAAATTATCAAGAACAACTTTTGTTTGTTGGAAGATTCAGAAGCTTTTTAGGTTATGATAGGTAGGTCATACTCATGATTGGTACCAGTAATCCGCCATTGATCAGTCGTGAGCACAAGGAGAAGAGCAGGGTAGAAGAAAAAAAGGTTAATATAATTAATAAGCCACATGCCAACCTTGGAGCTTTTTTTACGAAGTCTAGCCCCCAGATGAGAGTGACTTCCCTAGTCATTCATGCCTCCTAAGGTTGCAGGACCTCTCCTATGTTGCAGGGGTGTCACTTATTTCTTATTTTCAATGCTTTTAGCATTCCCTCTTCTCCTGTCTCCAAATCACTTGCTTGTGTGATTATTTTCACATTCTACCACCTGCGTGAAGCCTTGGGAGTATGTAAATAGCAATATTTTTATTTTCCTACATTCCGTACATTCTAGGTGCTGCATTAATCCATGACAAAACAGATGTGGTCAGAATCATTTAGGAACAAGAAACGAAGTCAGAGGAGAAACTGGATTATTATGGGCTGGAGAGAATGATGCACCTGGGTGTGACCAGAGGTTTGGCCGGCACACTACGCTAAGAGGAGAGGCAAGACGGAGTACAAAAAATATGCTGTGCAGCATAGAATAAGTTGGCTTACATCTCTTGGAGCCTGTAGACTATAGTGTGACACTTATTTCACCATGTAACCTGGTTGTCCAGTAACCATTATAGCCAGTGTGAAAATATGATGTTGGATTCCTGTAAATAAAACTTTTTTTTAATGACCCCAAATGCTATTTTTAGTCTTCTTCTTCTCCTTCTTCTTCTTGTTCTTGTTCACCGACTGTGAA